TATCACTCAACTTTCTCTGCGCACCAAAGAATTCATTCTGGGGAAAAACCCTACAAATGTCTAGTATGTGGAAAATTCTTTAATCATTACTCAAGTCTTTCTAGACATAAAAGAATTCATTCTGGGTAGAAACCCTATGAATGTCCACAGTGTGGCAAATTCTTTAACCAGTACTCAAAACCTTTCTGTACACAAAAAAATTGATTCTGGAGAGAAGTGTTACAGATATGAATAGTGTGGCAAACTCTTTAACTCAGGGTCAAACCAGAGTGTTAAGAAAAATAAGATGACATGGAAACTCTAGAAATACAAAGAGTGTAGCAGTACCTTGGTGTTCATAACTTATTAAGCTTATAAGAATTTACACTGGAGAGAAATCCTACAACTGTGAATGGTGTGGTGATGCACTTATCCAGAGCTCAAACCTTACTACACATATGAAAATTCATATTAGAGAGGTCTTACAAATGAGAATAATATGGCAAAGTTTTAACTGATTATTGTCCCTTAGTAAACATAAGAGAAATCATGCCAGAGAAAAATCACAATATAAAGGTGTGGGGAAGCTTTATGCCAGTAATCACATTTTTCTGTGCACAGTAGAATTTATGTTGAACAGAAGTGCCATAAATGTGAAGAATGTGACAAGTGTTTAACTTCTGCTCAAGTTGTTCTCTCTATGAAATTTATGACAGAAAACCCCTGCAAATGTGAAGACAGTGTTGAATCTTATTCATAGAGATATTCTTTATGTGTGAGGAATATTATAGTGATTACAGTGTCTTTACATATTTCTTATGCTTTTCCAATCATAATTCATATGGAAGAAATACTCTACAAATGTCAATCATATCTTAAGGTTGTGTTTATCATGTTTGGTAGGGCTATGGACAAACAGGAGCAGATGATTCTAGGAGATCCTAGATAATGAGAGGAGCAAAATTACCAGAGTGGGCTGCCAAGAAAGAAAAGCATTTCAGGAAGCTTTTCAAAAACTGAACTGATATTTGCTCTACAAAAATGACTTTCAGAGGTGGAGATAATGGCCAAGGCCACAAAAAGGGATCTTTGTAGCATGCATACAAGTAAGGTGACAGTAATCTCAAGTGACCCATTTTCATAAACAGTAAAAATATCACCACTTTTATCACAGTTTACAAATACTATGACAACTTCTAAAAATTGTCTTAAAGGGATAGAAATGGGAGGACTTTCCACTCTGGAATTTTTCCCTCTTTTCAGTAAAAATAATAAATATATTACCCCCTCATCACTTAACATAGATTTGGAAAATCAGCATGAAGTGGAAAAATCTCACTAACCCAGGGTGTTCTCCACTTCATAAGGTAGATGTCTTCCTTCTCTGGAGTGCACTGTGCTTAAATAAACTCTTGACTATTTGCTCACTTGTGTCTACTTGTTCTGCTCATTTGTTCCACTGTGTTGGTACCAGTAACTATGCTTTGTCACTGGGAACCAAAGACCAGGGAACACACACTTGACATCCATTGCCCATATGTGACATTTTAGTGCCAAAATCTGAGAGGAAAGTGTACATTTTCAGGAAGATAAGCTAATGGAACATAAGACGTTCTGAATTCACACTGCCCGATGCAC